AAAAAAAAAAAAAAAAAAAAAAAAAAAAAAAAAAAAAAAAAAACCACATTGTAAAACCACACTTAATGTAAAGTAGTCGTAAACAGAAGCCCGCTTCGCGGCAATTTCATATATAGTTGTAAAGTAAGGCAAAGCGCATACAAAAACAATATTGTTGTACACTCAGCACACGATGAGAGGAGACTGAATGATTGTGAGAACAAAAATATTAATGTAAAGGGAACACCGGTTCTCTAAAAGAATGAAAGAATGAGTGTAGGATACTAAACTACATAAACAACACAAACAACAGAATACAATACAGCACACATACGCACACTCGCAACAAATCCACAGGCTCAGTACCATGAACATCAGAAAGCCAGCGTCGTCGAGGGCGACGACGTCGCGGCCTCGGACGTGTTACGTACGATATGCTAGGCATATCATACTAACGCCCCCTGGTGACCACGGAGCTACCTTATCAAGAGGGTACCGACGGGAGGGGAACGAGGTAATATAAGGCCCGGCAAGCTTCAAAATCGGGAGAACGAAGAGAAAACTCGGACAGACGAGGAGAACGAAGAGAAGACTCGGACAGACGAGGAGTACGAAGAGAACACTCGGGGAGATCGGGCAATTAATCGGGAACACACACGCACCCTTGCCTTATAAATAAGTATCTTGAATAAAAGTGTTTAAGGTTCCAAGGTTTTGATCATTCTCGCGAAGCACCTCCTTACCTTTCGGTTTTCCCACGTAACAAATGGTAACCATAAAATTATTTCATATACGACTGCTAATGCTTAATATTTCTATCAAAATCAGCATTATTGTGTATATTGAGATATGATAAAAAATATCTGTAATAAAAAATTGTGTTTTACAACGAGTTCAAGACATTTTGAAGTTTATTGTTAGCTTGTTTGTCAATAAAATTTTATTAAGAATGACTTATGCAAAATAATAATAGCTTGCGCTGGACATCGTCTGTCCCAGAATAGAAGTCGAATATTGGTGTAGAAGCTGCAAGGGTACATTTTTAAGATACGCTCAAAGTGGCTTACGATGCTCAGCGTAGTTCACGTCAACACATTAAATAATTTGAATAGTTTGAATGATTCATCATAAATGGGAATAACATCCCTACAACCTTCTATTTTGTGTTAATAGCAAAACTACACACATGTTGCACCGTAAATTGCTAAAATAATCAAAGTCACATCATACAGATATAACAGTATGAACTGAAATGACAGTTTTTTTCAAAATGTACATCATTCGATTGATTTTTATGCGTACCCACTACCACCTTGGTCCAGAGGGTGTTAATTCCTTATATAATTAGTAAACATCTTTAACATCTTCTATTATCTAAAACCTTTATGAAACTTTTACTCAATTGAAACTTTCTGAGTCCTCTGTTTCCACTCAAACACCGACCTTTAAAGTGACCACCACAACTGTTACGAAAAGTAAGTATTTTCTTGAATTTAAAATATTTCAGGTTAACTTAAAAAAATTTTTATACCCTCAACAACTTTCGAGAAGGCTTTCAATTTAGAAACTTTTAAGCTATGATGGTAGATATAAATTATCTTATTACAAAATTATAAGATATTTCATTCTTGTTTTTTTGAAAAATTTTACGTCAGGAACATTAACTGTCAGCTTACGTATATATTTGAGAAGAAATCTTTTTTCTGTATAAACATTCTAAAATAATAAAGTCAACGTGCTCATTTTTTGCAAGAAATAGGTTTCAAAATCGAATTATTCAGAAAATATAGATTTCTAACAAGTGGATTTCAGAAAAAAATACGACACTTGTTGCACTTTGTATACTCGATGATAAAAATATTATACAGGACTCCAGCACCAATATACATTAATCGCCCCCTTTGAGCGCTCATATTTGTACTTTGTACTACAAAAGAATAGCTAAAGTAAGAAAGTATAACAAGTTGTATTCTTTCTAGTCTAGTACACAAGAACTCTTGGAAGCATCTTCTTCTTTGATCCAGCACATTAATTCTTAAGTTTTTACATAGGTAATTGTAAAGATAAGCATTTTTTGGGAGCGTGCTATGGTAAAGGTCTAGTTTATCTTGAAAATACCTTCAATAACAGAATGTTGGGTAAATCTAATATCAACATAAATAGAAAAGGATAACAGAGAGAGAGAGAGAGAGAGAGAGAGAGAGAGAGAGAGAGTGAAAGAGATATAAAGTAAGTAAGTAGAAAAATGGTTAAGCAAAGAACAACTGAGATTCAGATGAATATTAGCATAATAAAGCAGTGATGACATAAGTGTACTTTTGAGTTTCTGTGAAAACAATTTTTTTATGAGTAGCTTTGTATTCTCTGAAAATAGGCTTTAAAATTGCTAAATTTTTTTATAATATATTTGGTTAGAAGTGACATTTCATGCAAGTAGATTCTTTTTCCTCTTTGTTTAAGCATTTTTAGTACCCACTAAAGTGCAAGCATTCCTTTATTTTATAATTTTAAGAGGAAAAATCTAACAAATTATTTTACATACCACTGACGTTTATAAATTATGGTTTACGGGTAACAGAAAAATTAACACAGTAAATTAAAGCTATAAACCCGTTAACATTGTGATATATTTGTTTTCTGTAAACAAATAAAAGAAAAAGCACCTTATTAAATTTCTAAGAGAATACTTTATCAAGTAAGCTTGAAAATTAAAAAACTATAAGTATTGACTTTAAGTTAAATATAACTTTAAGTTTCATTTTCAATTAGAAATACATTCAGCAATTTTAGTTGTTTTATATACAAAAAAATTGCTTCATAACTAACGTGGTTACATTATGATGAGAATTCTATACATTACGTATTAAATATAAAATTATATACATAAATCAGACATGGAAACTAAAAATTAATCTTTCTACCAAAATTAGAAAATGGATGATAAAATATATTAAACAACAATCCACACCTGATTTTTCCGCATCGAAGTCCTCTGTCGCAGCAAATTTTGTATAGTCTGAAATTGAAAAACAAGATGGTAAGTACATGAAAACGATAAAATTTAATTCACAAAGTAAGATCATAAATTGCTCTTTTTAGCATAAGTGATACCTATAAAAGTGTGATATACTAGAAATACTTGAGCTTAAATTCTGGAAAGCAGTCATTTTATTCTCTCAGTTATCTATTAATATATATTCTTTAAATATACAACATATAACACTAAGCTTTGCCTTTTTTTCCAGAAATATAATATTCCTTCCTGAAGGAACATTACAACTAAAAAATGTATACATTCAGTGTCTGACCATAGCTGATAATACCCTTAAATTTGTTGAGCGCCAGGAAAAGATAAACATAACTCAGAATTTAAAATGTTTGAGGGAAAATTTTAAGTTAACTTTTATTTTCTTAAGAGTCAAATAACGACTTGTGAAATTAAATAGACTTTTTATTTTTTATTCTATTTTATAGTATAGTTATTTCCTCAATGATCACATTTATAAACTCTTAAAAGAGTCAAACTTAACGAAAGTCGTCACCTAACAAAGCTGACTGTGTACTTCGTGAATCTCGGTAGTGTCAAGTGACAACAGAAACGAACTGCTAAACCTGAATACATGAAGTCATCAAGTAGCAGCCCCATAGCATGTTAAACAAAAAAGATTTAACTGAAGCTCCACGCAAGATGCATTTCTTTGCACGGCATTTCAGTTAGTAGACCGTGCTCATCGAGAACAGTACTAAATCATGCAAGTAACTTGCTAAACATTTCTGTTAAAAAGTGACTTACTGTTCTTTTCTTTACTTTATTATTTTGTACGATTAATTTGTATCCAAGCCAAACAAAAAATAAGACAACTGAAAAAAAAGTAGAATAAAGTTAATGTGATTTAAATTATTAAACTATTTTACCTGAAAAGGCTATAAATAGATAAAAAGCCACTGGACGATGGATCGACACCAATGGAGTATAAAACAGGAAATCAAAGCGATTTTTCAAGTTACATTCTACAACCAAGGAGAATAAAACTAGATATTTGAACTTTTTTCATATTACTATATGTGTTTATATATAATATAAATCCACATTCTACTGAGAAAAGTAAGCAAACAAATAGTTGGACATACTGCTGGTAACGCAGCCCGTCAGGGAGCGTTAGACTACAGTCCCCAAACATCCAGTTTTAACGGGACGATAATGCTAAATAATTACGATTAATTGTTCAACGAAAATTGGTAGTAAAGCGTGGCTTAGTGTCTGATTATTTGTGTGTTAACTATATGTTCTCTTAGTGCTATTTGTAAAGAAACAATAAACACCATTGGAAGAAGCATTTTTATAAATACCATATAATACCCCATATAGTACAGTGTGTGCTGACGTGTGTATAGTGTGCCTTTGGGGAAGGCATAATACATGCGGTATTACGTTATAGTTGGAGAAAAAAAAAATTACACACTCATACACTTACAGTTAAATAAACAAAAAAAGTTTACTGTTATAAAATATAAAAAAAAATAAAAAATAAGATAACATTATGTATTCAATAATAGTAGAGAAATAAAAATGAGTGATCTTTTATACTACACACGTAGATACACACGTACGAGACAAAACAAATACACTATTCCTATCCTGAGCCTGCTACCTACAGCGGTTCATCCCTTTAGTTTTGCTTGAGTAGTGGACATTCTATACCCCCAATCTGCTAACCAGAGCGATCTTTCTATTCCTATCCTGAATTTACTCACTAGAACAGTTCATGCCCATTAGTCCTGCTGGAATACCAGACCCTCTTTACCTTAGATCTGCTACATAAAGTGATCTACCAAAATAACAAATAAATATACACAAACATAATTGCACTTAATATTTTTTGTTGTAGAAAAAGAATTCTTAAAGATGGAAAAAGGATTGAATGTAATCTAATAATTTTACTTTTACGCACACAATTGATCAATTTATTTTTGTAAAACGATATTGAATGAGATCCCCGTTACATTATTTTGTAAGTAATAAGAAAAATAAGAGAAGTGGTAAGAAAGTGTTTATGCAGGAGCTTATAAAAGACAGAAATGTCGTAGAAAAAAAGATTGAAATTAGTTAACGATCAAATTAAAAATTACCAAAATTTGCACAAATTGAACACATAAATACACAAATTAACTATTGAAAAATAAAATAATTTTAAAGCAGGAATCAACGAACAATTCAACAACTTGACCATTTTCGTGGAAAGGAAACCCTCAAAATTTTAAAAATTAAAAGTCTAGCAATTTACTAATAATTCGAAGCTCATTATAGTTTCCCTTACCTTATTAATAACTCATTGGCACATTTATTCCACGCTTCGTATACAGGCACTCATATAGGTGTGTCAATATAATTCACTTTATTAGGTCACACTGCTTATGTTTTTAGGAATGTATAACCGTAGTGATTAAAAAAAAAAGGTACAGACATCTATACTCCTGAAAAACCAGTGTAAGGTCCATCGGATTACTTCTAGATGCCTATAGATATAGGCGTGCATCAGTGTACACTGTGAGAGGAATACTCTTTCTCTTCAATTGAGTCAGAAAGATTCTAGCTGCAGTATTCAAGTTGTTGTATGTGACGGACTGCACGCAGCAGTGAATATAGTTGTAGTAGACTGATAGAATTAGATTTTTCAAAAAATTAATTCCTATAAGTAAATAAAAATTGGATTAGTGAGATAAAAGTGGTAGAAATTGCTACAACCGAAAACAAACCTCTGAATTTGTCAGCAAAGTGCCCAAAAAAATGGTAAAAGTGCCAAAATCACCTAAATCGTGAATAAATCAAAAACAGTAATAGATGGAAAAAAAGTTGAATACAAAAAAGATGCGCCTTTCCAAGCCACTCAAAAGTAGCTTTGTTGAAATTAATTTCATTAAATAGTTTTTTTGCAAATTACAAAAAACCGCAAATTGGGCCATTTTTTGAAAAACTCATAACTCAGTCCCATTTGGATATGAAGAGCTGAAAATTTAATACAATGTTCCTTTCGTAGTCCTTAACATATGCTCTTAATTTCAAAATGATACAATTAATAGTTTTTGCAAACCGTCGTGTTGAAGAAAAAATGGTCCCTTCGAAAAATGGCTCTAAAAAAGTTTTGAGACCACTTATGGCCATTTTTCACACTCGCTGATCTTCGTCAAGAGTTAGTGTTCAACATGCTAAAATTTCATCACCCCATCTTGTTTAGAAATACTGTTAAAATTGCATCAAAAAACAGTGATTTTCGCAGGAGGCCGTCGGCGGCACGTGGTGAGGTGAGCCACCGAATTAGGCCACGTCCTCTTCCTCGCTGAGCGCTCGGTGCCCTTTCGAGCGTGTAGGTTTAGAATGACTACGCGTTGTAAAACCAACGATATATCCGGAACTAAGAATCAGAAATTGATGTTTATTTTTAATCTGGGGTAGCTTTCAATAATACTTTTTAATAATAATAATTTTTAATAATAATAAACTTTTTTAGAGCCATTTTTCGGAGGGACCATTTTTTCTTTAACACGACGGCTTGCAAAAACTATTGATTGTATCATCTTCAAATTTAGAGCATATGTTAAGAACTACGAAGGGAACATCGTATTAAATTTTTAGCTCTTCATATCCAAATGGGACTGAGTTATGAATTTTTCAAAAAATGGCCAAATTTGCGGTTTTTTGCAATTTGCAAAAAAACTATTTAATGAAATTAATTTCAACAAGGCTACTTTTGAGTGGCTTGGAAAGGCGCATCTTTTTTGTATTCAACTTTTTTTCCATCCATTACTGTTTTCGATTTATTCGCGATTTAGGTGATTTTGGCACTTTTACCATTTTTTTGGGCACTTTGCTGACAAATTCAGAGGTTCGTTTTTGGTTGCAGCAATTTTTATGACTTTCATCTCGCTAATCCAATTTTTTATTTGCTTATAGGAATTAGTTTTTTTCTCAATGGTGTGAAATCTAATTCTATCAGTCTATAGGGTGCAGTATTCGTATTCTGCCCGGTATTGAAGCAAATACTTTCGACTAGAACTGACTAAAAAGTATATGTACTTACATATATACTACAACAAATGTGCGTCCTTAGAAAATTTACACATTAAAATTTATATAATACCAGACAGAATGAACAAACAGGACCAAACACCTTATATGAGCAAGCAAATGGGTACTGTATTAATACACCCAATATAGTAGGCATTATGGTGTCAGCGCCTGCATTGTCACATACTTGCATAAATGTGCAAAAATAGTAACACAGATCCATACACTGTTAACAATACGTATATAAGTCAGTGGCCAAGAGAAGATACAACGATAGTGTATTTGAGCGCGCTAGAAAAAGAATACTTTCACTCAACGCAGAGAAAGAGTTTTAAATTATGCCCTAGGTTATGGTGGCGTAGCAACTAGGATATATTACCTGCAAATCCCACATTAGAAATTCATGCACCGTATACTCCCTCACTTCAAGCAGATAATATAATACCAGCGCTCTTGATTACACTATCTCACTTTAGCTTCTGGGCGTACTGATAGTAAGCTTATTGTTTCGTTGGCAGTCATATTCCTATAAAAATTAAAGCAAACTCATTGCACATTGATGTGCCAAACTAAAAATCACATAAGAGACATATACATACACTCACACATCCATATATATTCAATTGTTTCTATATTACTTATGTCTTATGTGATGAATGTCCAGGATTTCATAAAATATTTTTCGGAAACAAAAAACAAAACAAAATAATAGTACGATAATTTCTTTTTACTACACACACGTATAGAATATAAAATAAAAAATTTAAAATAAATAAGATAACGTAAACAAACGCACGTAAAGCAAATGAAAAAACTAAGAAGATGGTCCATAAAAACGATGATGCTGATATTACGGTAGCTTAAGCGCTGATGGAGTCTCTCAATGCCAACATCTCATTTTAGCATGCAACTAAATCCATTCCTCCATTTGATAAGAAAAATATTGCGCT